GATCAACTTCATCTGGTCTTCACTGATCTTCATTTTCTTAAAACAGTCATTGTACATAATGTCAGTGGAACTCCCATTAGTAAATAAGATTCTTTTGACCACATAGTTGTGCACTAAGACTACGATTACTATGGCATCATCATGTGGGTGTTGGATCCTTTTCAAATCTTTCAAACTGAATGAGATCGACTTGTTTCTCAAGTTTTTTTTTTTAGCCAATGAGCCTATTGTCATTATTGAGCCCGAGTTGAACTTCTTTTTTGTCGAGGTAGAGCTACCTCCTATGATCACATTAATCACTCTGAAAATTGGCCTGCTATTGTTAGCTCGACCCTCTTCCTAATTTAGCTTTTCCTTTTAGGCATTTTTCTTCCTTGATTTGATCTTTCCTCTATACTCCGATTGGGCGTTATGTGATAATTTTTATAGTCTTTTTTAAACTGATCTTAGCTTATCTGTCCGATAAACTTTTTCAACTGATCGAGCTTAATCAAAGCTTCAATCTCAATTTTTAGGTTGATACAATCTTATGCATTATGGTCAATGTCCCGATGAAAGATGTATTTTTTGGTCAAATCCTACCTTGTATTTTATCTCAGTGGCTTAGGCCATCTGAAATCAAGATTTTTTTCAATTTGCATCAAAATCCTCTTATGAGAGGTATTCATTGCAATGAGCTTTTTTCTCAACTAGGACTTTTAGCCCTATATTTCTTAGGGGAAGATCGTAGAATTTCTTGTCTTTTTTATGATCGAAAAGGAATGATGAGCCTCTCTCACCTCAACTGTCAATGAGAGGAGATAAGTCTCTTTTAGCTTGATTTGTTTTCATTAGAGCTTCAGCTTTGACATATTTCTCTACTATCAACAAAACATCGGCCAGAGTTTTTAATGGTTCCAGCAACAATGTCAACTTTTAGTGGTACTTTTTATCATTGAGTTTACTGGTCAATGTGACAACAACGATCATTTATTCTAGGTCTTTGACCTATAAAACTTTCATGTTAAAATGCGTGACATAGCTTTTTAAAGTTTCATTATACTCTTAATGAATTGACATCAGGTTTAGGGTCATTTTTTTAGCTCTTCTGCTACTCATGAATCAGGATAGAAATAAGTGACTGAGCTTCTTGATAATAGTGATTGACCTCAGCTCTAAACTATTATACCAAGATTGAGCTACACCTTTCAAAATAATGGCTAAACCTTTGCACATAATAGCCTTATATGCCTTATATACCATTATGTTAGTTCTATGATGTTCTAAATGATCAAAGGGTTCAAAAGTGTCATCATATATCTACAAGGTTAGCATTTTAAATCCCTTTGGAGGTATGGCTCCATCAATCTCTTTCTTAAAGAGTTAAGTCTCTAAGAATTTGAGCTCATCCTCAAAAACTACTAGCTTTTTTAGTTCTTTCTCTATGGCCTACATCCGAGCTTTCAAGTCTTTGTTCGGTTAGGGTTCATAGTCTGTTTGTTTGGACTTTTGGGTTGTGGCATGTGTAAAATTTTAATTGGGGCAGTAAAGGGTTGGATTGGTGTGCTCTTCTTTTTTGGAGATCAAGAAGGCTTCCAATTTTTCGTTGCTCGGCTGCTCGACAATAGCTTTTCAATCCAATGTGACTAGGTTTAGCACTTTGAAGAATTATGGTGGGGTTATAGGTTTAAGCATCTATTTCAAGGCTTGTATTTGCTCAATCCAAGCTTGACATTGCTCCATGGTTAGCCTTACCTGTGGTTGAGCTAGGCAGACAGAATGTTGGTTTGATGAATTTCTATTCCAGTCAGGACGACTGCCCCTCCTTCCTCTTAGGTTCTTTTTCTATATGGCATTGTTTTGTGCTCGACTGTTATGAAAATGCTAGTCTCCTACTTCACAAACCAAATGTTTGTACCAAGCTTCTACCTAAGAGTTTTCCTATAAAAAGAGATGAAAAGAATAATTAGAGGCAAAAGCAGGGGATATTCCCTACATTTGCACTTCAACGCACAAGTCAGTAAGGATCCGATTGGAAAGGTATAAGTTAGATGAACTTGATTTTATGATGCCTAAGTTTCCATATTTATAGGTAAGCTTAGGGAGACAAAAAAAAGGACAATTAAGATAGAGCCAAGTTGAGGTGGCACTGGACATGTTAGACCGACCTGATATATCAAGTCAGCACAAATGATCATGGTACATTTGCTTGTCTGCTAAAGATTAAGAAAGGAAAAAAAAATCACTATACCCTTTTGACCATTATATGCCCCTAACAATATTAGTTCAAGTTCTTAGAAATGTGAAAAGAAAAACCTTCGCTTTAAAAAATGAACTTGGTCATGGTGGCTTTGGTGTAGTTTATAAAGGGGAACTAGATGATGGAACACAAATTGTAGTTAAAAAAATGAAGGCTTATGTGATTACAAGCAAGGCTTTGGATGAATTTCAAGCTAAAATTGTCATTCTTTCAAAGGTTCGACACTACTATTTGGTTTCACTTTTGAGTTATTCCATATGGGATTTTGATTAGGATTGAAAATGTTGGCATTTTTTTATTGTGTAAAGAATTTCTTCAGCTTTTTGGGTTTCAATCAATCTTTTTTTTCTAATTTTTATAGTTTTTTTTAATTAATGATATTAAGATATTATTAAATTTTAAAAATATTTATGTTAATGTTGATGTCGCTTTTTGATAGTTCACGTGGCTAGAATTTGTAATACACATCATCATTAACAATGTTAAAAGCCAATGAAAATACCACGATAATAGCCATGTCAACTATTTGATAGATGAAATTGAACACTATTAATGATTGGACTTAAATTTTTAAAAATAATACTATAAGTATTAAATTCTTTTAAATAATATTAGAGAAACTAAATCTTTAAAAATCAATGAATATAGGAATTTATGGCACATTTTGATTTTTTTTCTTTAGTCACATGGATTTTCATTTGGACCAACAAGTCCACTCATTTTTACACTTGTCATGACATGGTAAGGCAACAAGGTTTAATTTTTTTTTTTAATTGAGTAAATGGTTGATTTTCAAATTCAATCTTCAATGTATAGAGGAATAGTTGGTACACTATTCCCCTTCAAACATCTTCTAGTGATAAGGTCCATATGTAAAACCGTATAAGGAAGGATGTGAGGAGGAGCATTCCAAAATAAGATGCCACCATTAAAATCCTCAGAAGAAAACACCGTTTGTGTTTAGAATCACTAATTCTGACTGCAAATTTAATTAATGACAGATGGGATTCCACTCAAGCAATTAAAATATGGTAAATTAATTAACCTACACAGCAAGACCGTCCAAATGGAGTATATTGACAACGAGAAATATTAATCAATTCCATTAATACAATAACTCTAGACTTCAATAAATCATTTTAGCAGATACGGACCTATAAATAAGTACACAGTGCATGCCGCATATAACAAACAAATGCTCCAACAGAAGTAAAATATTTTTACTATCTTTTTTAGCAAGAATAATTATGGTTTAAAAAGGGGAAGAAAACGATGGATTTCTCAGCTTGGTTTCCGTTGGTTTTAGGGTTAGTGTTTTTGGTTGTTAGTAATAACTCTGTGAATGCAGATACGGAAGCAACATGCCAGGACTGGGTAGTGCATTTTTTAAAGTATTGCAGGCCCTACTTGGTGGGTAAAGCAGCCACACCGGACGTTAATTGCTGCATAGGTTTGTCTAACACAGTCGGTGGCATTACCAAACCCAAAACCCGCAAGGATATCTGTGAATGTCTTCACTATTATGCGGTATTTGATGGATAAAAGCCTGATAGAGCTAAGCAAGTTCTCAAACATTGTAATATCGAGTTCCCCGTGCCCCTTGCTCCCTCCGCCGACGATTGCAAGAAGTAATAATCTCTCAATCTCCGCAGAAATTATGTTATATGTTACTTTTTTTTTTTTATCAATTATTATTATTGTTTTTTGGATAAATTGTGTCACTGATTGAATTTATGAAGAAACTGACTCGTTTTAATTTCTTGACTGATTTTCAGCATCCATTAGAAAATCGAAGTGCGGTAGCTGAGTGGATATATCATATGTCTGTCCCGAAATAAAATGAAGATCACAGCAATAAATTTGAAAAAGTTCTCTAATATTGTAGTTGAAACCGAGTAGCGTTTCATTTCTTTTCATCTCGGTCTTGCCTATGCGGACAAGAATTAGAATATACAATATGGAATATTATAAGTGGAATTCTCTCAGGTTTTCTGATATCTCTACCTCTTAACAGTATTACAAGTTAACGTTTCTTGCATGATCAACTGAACAAGAACCAAAATAGGGTTTTACTTTATCTCGAGAGCAAAAGGCCCGATGCAACCCAAATTATTTGCTTGTGGAAGAAAATGAATTAAAAAAAATAGAAACTTTCCACCTATTAAGATTGAAGAGATTAATGTCGAAGCAGAATTGAACAAAGTTTGTGTTTATTTGTTGACACAATGTTGTGATTAATTATATATGAGCAAACTTGGACAAAAATCTATGAATAATACAATTAAGTAACAAATTTGTTAAGAGAATCCCTTGCGTAAGGGGACACTTTCAATTATATAAACAGTGCTGTCACAAGTGGATTGAGGAATGGTGAGCTTGACCCTGAGAAAAGGCTTTACCCTGGTGGATTAAATAAACACACCCTTATATTGAGGTTTTACTCCTCATTGATAAGCCTTAACGAGAATTACAAAAAGTATATCAAGTAGTAAATTAACTTCCCTTTTATGATGATTGGCGGTTGGACAGTTGCTAAATATTCATTTTCTTGTAGTGTCAGAGTCTTTAAAACAAGGAAGTGACACCACAAACGTTAATGATGCGTAAGAAACTCGACTTTTAATGACAAAACCTGAGTTATCCCTATATATAAGTTTCAAGTTGCAAAGGCCTCACCCAATTTCCTTGCAATAATTAACAAATTAAGATCCAAGAAGAAGAATTGGATGGAGAAGGGAAGAGTCGCACAAGGGGACACCAATCAGAGAAGATGGATATATTTCAAATACAGAAATTTCTTAAATATCCAAAAGCTGCTTTATATTTATTGCGATTCCAGAGTATATACATATGATACTTAATTTTTGCAAGCCATTAATCAAAGACAATATATATATGTAATAGGTCCATCAATGATAGTATATAGTAATTTTTATCTATCTAAATTAGGCTGATAAATATACATTCTGGATCACTGCTCGTACGTACTTTCCTTAAGCTTTGGAGTAATAACTGATATGTGATTGGGTGTTAAGCAAGTGACTGAGGGAGTTGTTAAGTTGGAAGAGACATGAGCATTATGGCATTCAGCTTTTACCTTCTTTCCAGGAGTTGATGAAGTTATCATATTGTTGCTTAGAGTGATACCAGTGCAAGGAACTATACTACTGCAATCCAGTTTGATAGCAACCTCAGTAGCGGATGTCCCTTTGAATCCACTAAATCTCACATTGCTTATCTTTACTGCTGTTTTCTGCATGTATACATTATAATTAATTAATTAGTAAAATTTTATTCATAAAAAAAAAAAATCCAACACGAATTGTATATGTTTACCGCTTCAGGTTGACATGTTTGGTGAGGACAATAGTGTTGGTCAATAATGATCGGGTTTTCAGCGTTTATGAGTTGAACGCCAACAAAGGAAATATCCCTTGCAAATCCAGCACCACCCTATATATAGAACAAAAAAAAAAAAAAATTAATGTTATTGAGAAGAAATTAAGAAGTTTTCTTGATCAATCTTTTAAGAATGATAATAAAAATAACTACCACCCATGTCTTGATTCTAGCTCCATTTTGAGTTCCATTGAAGATAGAATTCTCCACTTGCACCCATTCCACTGTTTCGTTTTTCCCATTTTTTCCAAGACTTCCCACGCTACAATCATACGCAGAAGTTGATGAATTATTTTAGAAAAAATTCATATATATATATATATGCTAAATTAATTAATAAAAAATTACCTAATTCCATGGCCTGGTCCACATGTAAGGCGGGTGATGTTTATATGAGAGGAACCGCCATTGATAGCTATGCAATCATCTCCTATATTATAAATAAAATAATAATTTTTAAGAAAAGACATACTTACAATGTGAAAACAACATTATATAAAAATACGTAAGTCTCTCTCTCTCTCTCTCTCTCTCTATATATATATATATATATGTACCGGTTCCAAAGAAACAGTCTGAAATTCGAAGAGCAGTGGATGAGGAGATGTCAATCCCATCAGTGTTGGGACTATCTTTGGGTGCAATTAGTTGAATATGTGATATATCCACTTCCTCGCACCTATTCACGCTTACGTGATTTCCAGGACTATTTAAAGAAGTGATTCCATGAAAATTAAGATTATTGCAATTCTCGAAAGAAATAACCTGCATCAATAATGAATTTCTTAAAAAAAATTAATAGGCTAAGATAATTTATGAAATTAATTAATCTCAACTTTATGATATGCAAGACAAACTTACTGCTGGTGCACACTCATTTGGTGTCTGAAAAATAAATTGAATTAGAAGAATTATTTAGTCAGTTTATAATTAATTAATTAATGGACAATAAAATGTAAAATAAAAACAAAATTGAGCATGCATTATACTTTATTCCACCAAGCAGCACCGTTGCCATCTATTTGGCCTGTTCCATCAACAGTAAGACCAGCTACGTTTGAGAAGCATAGCCAGCAACCATTATCACATTTTGTCCACGTATTGCTTTTTGGTGCAATAATGTTTCCAAGGACCTGAAAATATGTATACAGTAGGACATTTTTTTTGTATGAAAATTTGGTAAAAAAGGTTGAAAATTTACTCACCATTAATCATAGATATGTTTCAATAATTCAACACTATACCCAATTACCCAAGTACTAATTTTGTTCGTGTATTAAGCTTAGCTCTTTTCTTTTTTTTTTTTTGTTTTTTCGAGCAATTGATAAATAAATTTATAAATAAGCAAAAGATCATAAACCTAATTAACATATACGATATATATATGTAAAAATATAGAATGCAAATCTTAGTTAACCCTTTCCTCTTGCCAAGCATATTATTCTTTTGGTTACAAATTTATATAAAATAAATAAATAAATTATAGAAAACAAGAGGAGCCAATATTGGTTGAAGTTTCTATAATATAACGTGGTTTTAATATATTCTAGCGGACAAGGATAACAACCGAATTAATTTTTTCCTTTTTTTTTCTTTCACAGAACCTGAATTGATATAAAAGTAATAATTTATTCACAGGTTCAAATCATGTTTATATAGTATATGCAAAAGTTGAAAAAAAAAAAGAAAAGACATGAATATGAACTAAGTAACTGTGCTATTTGCCTTAATATGAATGGATTTTGACTTGCAAGGACCGGAAAAATCAATTTTAGAACTCAGCAAAAAAGTTTTGGCGGAAGGGATTTCCAAGGTTGGATTATTAGTTGCTGCACACAGAGCTGTCCAAGCTTTTGAAAAAGCCTACATATTCAAAATCAACACATAATTATTAGTAAGATCAGATATAATCGTGTAGATATATATATATATATATATATAGAGAGAGAGAGAGAGAGAGAGAGAGAGAGCAAAAAGAATATAATTAAATAGGAATATACTATATGCAGTATACAAAAAAACATGCATGTACAATATTGTACGTACATGCAGCTTAAATTAAGCTGAAAAAAGATGAAAAATTTACCAGTAAATCATCTGTTCTTCCATCTCCAACAGCCCCAAAATTGATGACATTAAGGGATTGGCAATTACCAATCCCAAAACCAAAGTTCAAAATAAAAAAAGCAATAACTAGCAATGCCTGCAGAGAAGAAAGAAGGGGATATCAAGAAAACCTTTAATGTACATTCATAAAAAGTAGCTAGCCATGAAACTAAGGTTTTTCAAAGTTGAAAGGCTTGATTCTCACCATCACACTGAAACTGAAAGCCTTTGCTTCAATTATTTTCTTGGTTGAAAGGAAGTTATCAGTAGGGTTTTGTGTTCTTAATTTCTCACTGTATATGACTTCTTGCAATAGCTAGTTTGTGTGCTTTTTATAGAGGTACGTGTGCATGTATTTTGAGGAATTTAATTAATTAAAAAAATTAATTTAGTAATAAAAGATAAAACCATAATAACTTGAGTGATTATTGAAAATTGCAAGGATATATCATTATCGTATACGTAATAAGGCGGTGCATATGTACAAATTGGAGTAATTCAATAATTTTAAATTACAGAAATTAAAACTCCATTATCCACGCAAATAATATATAAATCCAATTAATTTTCTTTTGTATACTATTGAGCTACGTGTATAGATATATGTACTTTTGTTTTTATCCTCAAGCATTAATTATTAATCGATCTTGGAATATAAGTTGGGGATAAGATGAAATCTAATATTAAAGAAAATCTTAGAATACAAAAAACTACGGAAATCTTTGTAAGAAGTAACAAAGAAAATTGGAAATAAAATATTCCTCAGATTGCCTTTGAAACATGCCTTGAAGTTTAAGGCCGTAACCAATCAATTGCATTTCTCATATCAGACACTTATTTTGCCAGGTTTTGTCTGATGTATCGTGACCCTTCATGTTGAGTATTGTCATTCGCCTTGGGTACGCCTAAAACGCAATAACGCTGAAAGTAGCTAATTTCCAGTTGAACATTGACATTAGTTTTGCTGATCATGCAAGTTCTGATGATTCTAACTCTCCCAGGCGTCTATGTGCAGTCTTTTTTTTTTGTCCTCACGTTCTCAACATGCTTTAGAGCACAGATGTCTGTGACTAGAGCTGATATGCTTTGCCAAGAGAGCCTGGGATCGATGTCTAAGATATAAAACCTGAACAAGCCTTGTTGCCAAAGTAATTGCTGAAAAAAGTCAGTAGGTCAAGACTTCATGCAGGCTAGGATCAAGATGAAAATGGAAGTTGGATTAAGCCAGCAGTATCTATATACAACTGCAACGTGCGTGCAATGGTGTCACTTAGATACAAGTTGCCGAAGCGTGCGGTCTTTGGCTGGTTCCGGCCGATGGCATAACACCAAATAGCAAAATAAGGGAGTACAAATATTGACCGGAGCTTCCACGATTTCCGCAAAAATTAGATGTTCTCACATTTTATATCTTAGAATGAAATATAGTGTCGGATGATTTTATTGATAGTTTAGAATGTGGTGAATCTCACATCGGATAAAAAGATTTAATTATTGATGAAAGTTAATTTTTGTATTCATTTTATTTATATTTTAAATAATTTTGTTTGAACCAAAACAATTATTATTTAACAAATGATTATGACTATTTGAATATAAATATATTATTGTTCATAAAAGTAATGATTATACAAAATGTTATAACTATATGAATAAAAGTTTATATTTATTTATTTATTATAAATAAATATTTCAGTATAATCATTTTCACTACTTTTGATTAGAAAGTTTGAGGTTTTATTGTATCTTAAAGGCATAATTGCCTTTAAGAAAGGTTTCTTCATGCCTCAAAGTCAAAAAATTTTTCTATTATTTCTCTTCTCTTATTTATTTTTTAATAATTTAAAGACAATTGTGAGAAATTTATATTTCACATGAGGAAGATATATGGAAAAGAAATTGGCATTATTTGTAGATCAATATTAGAAAAGGCTCAAAGTGTCAAAAAATTAATCTTTCTATGGACCAAAATGTTAATTTTCATAAAAAATGGGATGTAAGTAGAGAATATATACAGAAAATAAAATTTGGTTGTAAGATTAGTTTTATTTTTCAATTATGGTACTAAAATTAAGATAATAAATTGAGTTAAACTATTTGTATGGTTATATCTTTGTTGGTCGTTTTATAAATCAAAGGTTTGATTTTTTTAATTTATTATTAGTTCAAATTTTGACAGGTGCTCAATTTTCATGAAATCAATTAAAATTAAATTGATGTATATGAATAATTATTATTAAGATTTGATGTATCATGGATTAATTGGTGGATAATAAACCAAATAATTGTTATTATCATAAACATGGGTAGTGTGACATTTATTTAACTACTAAGTGTATTATACTAGAAGTAAACAATCACAAAATGGAAATTATAAATAGTCGTCAAGGAATTAATCAATGGGTACACAAAAGCATTGTTGCTTTTCGCATATGGGATATTAATTAAAAGAAAAGGCATGTCATTAAAAATATTGAAGCATTTGTTGATTACTAGCATTTTAAAGGATGCTCATCAATGTTTAATTAGCCATGTTTATGAATTAGAAAAGAACATGCAAATTCAATGTTCTAAAGGCACCAATACATGTATGTATTTGGTTCCATTTTCTGATGACATGGAGAACATTAGTATAGTTTGCCATATATTAAGAAAATGAATTGAATGAGATTTAATTTTTTTTTTATACATATAAGAAAGATAGAGGCTATGGAGATAGAATGCATTCATCCAATTAATACATTATTTGTTAAAGACAATGAAGATATTTTTACTTCTTATACTAAAAAAAAGGCCTTTTGTAAGCTGTTAAAATGAAAAGTGCACAAGTTTGTGAGCTTTTCAATAATTTCATGATAATGACAAGGATGTGATTGGTTATACACCATATGAACATATAGGATTAGATAATAATTTTAGTTTGTGAAAACCGTAAGCTTTGGAATTAGCCAATCAATTATTTAACCAATATGAATTCATTACGAGTTTTTAAATGAAATATGAGTAGAACTCATATTATAATTATTGTTTATGATATTTTATGAAAATGATTCTTTGGATTCATATTTCATGACTTGCGTTGATATGGTAATCTAGATATGAACATATTGATCACAAAATGATTGCGAAAGTTTTTAAAATTGGAGTTAACTATATTATGGACTTTTATTTTACATAAGCATATTGGTCCTATGAGTAAAGTTTGAATTTATTATATACCCGAAATATTATGACCAATTAAAGGTGGTAAATAACATAGATATATAGGTTGCACAATAGTGGAGAAATAAAGTTCTCATAAAATTTTGAAATCAAGTTTAGAGATTTCAATAATCATGAACTTGGAATTGACCATTAAACAATTAATATATACATTGGAAATTCATGACAATATTTGAGATAGTTGGTTTTCACTAAAAGCCATCACTATAAATGAGATAACTTCAATAGCCAAATCTACATGATTTGTAGGTATGATTTGGATTAGTATGGTTGGCTTAGAATAGCCATAAGTTAAAATTGATGCCACAATCTTGATCACGTTGTGGTAATTTTTTGTTATATATATGGTCTAATTCATGGATTGTAAAAATGATTATTATCTATGGTTTTATTAAAAGTTTTGTAATATAGTGAAAATTTTAAAGTATATTTACTTTGGAAGTTATGAGTGATTCAAAGATCTTATGAATATGATAACTTTAATAATAGCAAACGGAATGCTATTTGATCCATTTGAGTGGTGGAAATAATTTTGTTCGTGTTAAAAAAATTATTAATAGTGCCCATGATGAAATAGATTCGTATAAATATTTATGAAGTGACATAAAAAGTCTTAAAAATAGACTATAAAAACATAATTATATTTGAAATCTACTTATAGATGTAAACTCTTATATTAAGTTAAAATATAAAAGTTTTGAAACTTTTATAAAAAATAAATATTAAGATATAGAATATCAATTATCAAAATAGTTTTAGCTTTGAAAAGACAAAGCTAGAACAAAATTACAATACTCTCAAAAAGGAAAATTAAGAGATGAAAATATTTTTGAATGATTTTGCATGATCATGCTTTTGTTCTTCTATTCTCTTTGCTTCCACAATTGTATTTTGCTTTTTTCTTGGTCAAAGAATGGCATTATGGCATCATGCACTGACATTAGCTAAAGATATATGCAGTTTGGGTTCCCATTTTTATTTTTTTAGGTAAAAATATGATATAGGTCCATATACTTATCGATATTTTAGAATTCAGTCCATTTAATATTATTTAAAAGAATTTAATCCTTATAATATTATTTTTTAAAAATTTCAGTTCAATTGTTAACAGTGTTAAATTTTATCCTTTAAATAGCTAACGTGGCTACTGACATGATATTTTTATTGGCTTTTAACATTATTAATGCTACTGTGTATTACAAATTTTGGCCTTGTGGACTACTAAAAAGCTATATTAGCATTAACACAAATTTTTCCTAAACTTAATAATATCTTAATATCATTAACAAAAAAAACTATAAAAATAAAAAAAAAACAATTAAAATCCTAAAAGCTGAATAAATTCTTCACGCAACAAAAAATCCCTAAATTTTTAACCCACATCAAAAGGTTTAGGTGTTAATCCCATTATTCTTCCATGGAATTAACAAAAACAAAAGGTTTAAGAAGAAACACATTTGTTTCAATAGTTGCTCCTATTACAAGTTTTGCGGTTCTTACATTTCTTGTCATTCATCTATCCATCTATTGTTATAAAATGATAAAAACAATAAGTTGGCTTTAACTTCCCTATTAATCCACTTAAAGTATCTATCTAATTCAAATAATGTGGTTAAGGTTGTTGCCAATAACACCAATGGAAGCATTTCTACAATAACTGGGAGTGGTTCTACAAGCAAAAATAGTAGCTTTAGGGAGCCTCATGTCATTGAAGCTAGAAATTTGATCATATCTGTTTGTGCCGAACTACAACCTGAGGGTATCTTTATAAAGGCAAATGAAAAGAATGGTAAAGGCAAAGACAGGGGTGTTCCCTGCGTTTGCACACAAATGCGTAAGTCAATAAGGATCAGGTCGAAAAAGATGTGAAAAAGTAAAAATGAAATAAAGGTATAAGTTAGATGAACTTGGTTTCATGGGCCTGAATTTTCATATTTATAGGTAAGCTGAGAGGGATAAAGAAAGGACAATTAGGACAAGGCCAAGCTGAGGTAGCATTAGAAGTGTCAAACTATCTAACATGTCAAGTCAACACAAATGACCAAGGTAACCCAAGTTGTCTGCTGAAGACAAAGAAGGGAAAAAAGACCAATATGCCTTTTTAACGATTATATGCCTCTAATATTCTA